ACTGACCAACACTAAAATGTAAAAAACAAGTGTTGAATCACCATTTCCTAGTGATCACAGTAAATCTGTTGAATTAGAAATGTTAATCTACGACTTGTGATGTGGGTAGAAAAAGCACAGCATTAAATTGGAATATTTTGTGGCAGTTTTCTGACCTCACTCAGATTTAATCCTTCAAAATTGATATGGACAAAAATAAGTCATCGCATGTCATCAATTAAAAATTTGCCAGATCCTAACACCCTCTAGTGGTGGGTTCCACCACAAGTCACCACTTTTGTTTATGCGTTAATGTTGCCATATCCCAGAACAACCAATATAGTTTACCATAGACACATACTGCAAATTTTATTGCCCTTTTATTGATTTTTTACAATGCAAACTTTCACAAAAATTAAAACAACCTTATTTTAGAGAGATACTATTTCTGAACAAGATTTCGTCTTGCAAGAAGAATGGTGTCTTAATTCTTGTTCTGGTCAAATGCCCCAGTCATTCTTTCAAATACTGTTTTTTGCAGCCATGCAAACTTCAAAAAGTATACTTCTGTGAGAAATTCGGAACACGCATGCATATCCCTTGAGCAGGACGCTTAGACAATACTCACTCATATGCAGGACGTTTAATTTGGATAAAGTACAGATCATGCATGAACCATGGGATACATATTGATGAACCCCATCTGTGACTTAGTTAAAATAACTTTGATCCATCAATTTAAATGTGGTGCAATTAAAAGGTAACAGATTATTTGAATTTGTGATATCCTGAACATCAACATTATCTTTGTGTGCAACGACAGATGCTATACATGTAAGCCGTTGGTTACAGAGCCTAATGTAATCAAAGAAAAGTGATTGAAAGACTTATCTCCAAATAAAAACATCCACAAAAGTTTTAAAACTAGAGTCTTGTATTTTTTGTATACGTTAATATTTATTGAGTAGCAACCATTATGCCCAGGTTACCTACACAAGCCTCTGAAAAAAACATGGCAGAACAGAAAAACATCACACATTGGATTTTTATGACACATTTTATTTTTCTATATCTACAAAACTGTGCCTACACAGTTCCAAGCAATTCCAATATAAAGTATCTTTTTTCCTATGCTTTTTGAAAATAATTATTGCTGTATTCTGTCACAGAAAACATGGGTAGAAATGGATTGGTTTTACTTTCAATACATGGTGACTACAAATAGAACCACCTCAAATGTGATCAGTGGTTAACGAATAGTCAATGCTGTGACATAATAAAATAGTAATGTAAAAAACTTGTTGGATGCATAAACTACTGATATTACTTAGCATTATGCATTGGATCAGTAACAATCACAGCACCATTATGTCACATTTAATTTGGTCCAATTGTTACCATCTCAGAAAGTGAGTGGGGTACATTCCCACAGTGCCTTCACTGGGAGCGGAACAAACAGCTTTCTCGTAACGCATTTCTGCACATACTCAAAGGGGGGGGGGCATTTATTTTTGCCTTTTCATTGAACCTTTCACTAACATACTAAATAACAATGCTTTTTTACTCGTTAGCAGGTTTTCATCCTATACTTCAGCAATTTCCGCGAGTTGCGCAGTCTGACACATTTACGTGTGCATTAAAAAGCCCAAATTGACACACTTATAGCATGCATTAAGAGCCCAGAATGCCACACTTGGAGCATGCATTCAAAAACCCAGAATGCCACACTTACAGCATGCATTCAAAAGCCCACAATGCCACACTTACAGCATGTATTCAAAAGCCCAGAATGCCACACTTTTAGCATGCATTCAAAAGCCCAGAATGCCACACTTTTAGCATGCATTCAAAAGCCCAGAATGCCACACTTTTTAGCATGCATTCAAAAGCCCAGAATGCCATACTTTTTAGCATGCATTCAAAAGCCCAGAATGCCACACATTTAGCATGCATTCAAAAGCCCAGAATGCCACACATTTAGCATGCATTCAAAAGCCCAGAATGCCACACATTTAGCATGCATTCAAAAGCCCAGAATGCCACACATTTAGCATGCATTCAAAGGCCCAGAATGCCATACTTTTAGCATGCATTCAAAAGCCCAGAATGCCACACATTTAGCATGCATTCAAAAGCCCAGAATGCCACTTTTAGCATGCATTCAAAAGCCCAGAATGCCACTTTTAGCATGCATTCAAAAGCCCAGAATGCCACTTTTAGCATGCATTCAAAAGCCCAGAATGCCACTTTTAGCATGCATTCAAAAGCCCAGAATGCCACTTTTAGCATGCATTCAAAAGCCCAGAATGCCACTTTTAGCATGCATTCAAAAGCCCAGAATGCCAAACATTAGGATAACATTTTATACATACTGTGAACAACTTTTATGGCATTCGTTTTACAAAAAAATATTTAAATTTTTTGAATGCCATCACATGCATATTTTGATTTATTTTTTAAAATTTCTTTCCAAATAGAAAAAATTCCCATTGTAAATTAGCTATTGGTCTTGATTAAAAATTACAAAAAAAAAGTTTATTTTTTGAAAGATGACAACAGTTGTTTGCTCCATCAATGTCAATTGTGGATCCATCCATCCTATGCTTGATAGAAACATTTGTATAGATGCAAGGGGGTCAGTAGATATATGAATTTAAATCAAAGTCAAACACTATAGGCTCAAGCAGTAAACTTTGAATCACTGTTTTTAGACTTCTATGAATGCTGATATGAATAGTTTTAGGTGATACAGACAAAATACAAATTCAATAAAGCCTTTGTTAAATCGTTCATTTTTCTAAACATGAAGCACATTTTATTACAAAATAATTATGCACAAGAAAACAAACTAGTCACTGGAAGTGATCATCAACCAGTTTAACTTGAAGACTGACATGTTTTTCATTAAAATAAGCATTAAACTTCAAATTCTGAATATCAAAAAGAATACACAGACAGGCACACGGGAAAAATATATTACATTTCAAGAAAAACAAAACTTCCCTTGTATCAAATCTTGATATACAAGCTGACATTCACTTGGTAAATATGGTCTAGGCTATCTACACAGAACCACAACTTGATGCTAATAAAATTTGATAAACATTTCACATTAGCTGGAATTAGTCTGATTTGAACGATGTAGGAGGCTCTGTAAGATACAAGATGTTTCTTTAGGTTCTTGTTGTCACAATGATCATGTGACCTAGTTCAAGTAATCTACAGCTGCTTAAAGAACATACACAATGCTATGACATTATGTAAAATGTGACGAAAATTAATATTCCATATTATAATCTCATTTAGGACTATACAGAATCCTGTCTGTGTGTTAGGTAATATAATGCACTGAACTACCAAGCCACCTGTAGTCTGTATGGTATACAATCAGCTCGCCATTACCATGGTTTTTCTGTTGTGCAAAATAAGTTTCCCCATAATATTTTATTGGGACTGTTGATAAGAAGTTGTGGAGACATCGAGTAACAACAGGCCAATCTGACTGACACATGTCATTCCATTTAATGCATACAGAGAAACATTAGATACCGGTAATAATGAAGTTGAAAGCGACAAGCCAAACAAGTCTACGATAAAACACACTAATGCCCCAGTTTGAAAATAAGAAATACATGAAAAATGCAATGCAAGAACATATATACATAGCAAAGCCAATATCTACCAAACTACACGAGAAAATAAATACAAGTTGCATATAAAAATCTGGCATGCATCTCTTCTTCTTCTAAAAGACACTTTGCATATACTTTTGTATTTTCATAGCATTTTTTTTTTTTTTACAATTTGGAGCAAACACCACAGAACTGAATGCCCCTACATCCCTTCGTAAATTGCCAGATACACACAACATACATGGAATGCTAGTTTTAGAATGAAATAGTCTAAATAGTGAAACAAAGGCAGAAATACATATATTTTTGTCACTGTAATAAAATGAGCACACGTTCTACTGCACAATTAACTGAATATTTCGCATACTGTCAAGTGATATGCAAATACAATTTGACAATGTGTAGTTAGCTGGTTTTTTTACTGTCTGGGTAACAATGTCATGTTTAATAATTAGATTAATAAATTGTTTTAACTCTACAAAAAGAATTGCATGAATTATTAGACTGGTGCTCAGAACCAAGGGCTACAACCCAGAGCCAAAGGGTTGTACAAATATTGGTATCCAGATTGAAGGCGCTACACAAATATTGGTCCCCAGAACCAAGAGACTACACAAATACTGATACCCAAGCCAAGAGGCCATACAAATATTAGTGCTTAGAGCCAAGTGATTACACAAATATCAGTGTCCAGAACCAAAGGGCTACACAAATATCAGTGTCCAGAGTCTGGGGTCTATGGAAATATTGGTAACCAGAGTCGAGGGGCTACACAAACATTGGTTGAAAATAGTATAAACAATCAACATTGCAGTTCACTTTTAATGATTTTAGTTTTAAAATTTAATTTTTTATCAAATTTGTAATTATTTGAAAGATGATTTAAGTCAAGCACTAACGACTTTGCAATATTCCTAGAAATACTGAGATTAAACCAAAGGAATGGACAATTTGATTTTCACAAAATAGTTAAGTGAACAGAATCCAGTAAAACAATCATTTAATCAATGGTTTGCATGCAACTTTGGGAAAAATGCATCACATACATACTAACCAATGAATCACAGCTAAAAAATAAAGTGATTGACAGTATTTGTATTCCCAATCAATGTTCTTTTATACAAAACATATTTCAATCAAAATAACTCGCACTCAATACCATGCAAGTTCTTGGATAAAGAAAATTAACTGAAAAATGTAAATAATTAAACCTTTGCAATGGTTGGAGTTGAATTTGCTAGAACACTATTTTAAATGGCAGAAAATGATCTTTACACATGATTTCAACAATTATATTTAGTAGATATGTAATTTCCACTAAGTACTCTCAATGCAAGGGATTATGAGTGACTAGATGACTCCTAAACAACCCCCTGTTAATTCGTCCGACGTGAGTCAACCACTTATATGGTACAATGGTTGGAAACCATTCAATAGATTTATTAGTTTCACTAAAATTAGCGCACATATACTAAAGCCACACTACATCATAGTAAGATACTAGTTCCATACACTGACAGCAGCTGTATATGTTGACAGGTTGTATGCATAGTTCAAAGTTTGCATCAGAGGTGGGTGTCAGCTGGCTGTTCACAGTAGTATCCAAAACTTCTGTTGAGTGCCACGTCTAACTTCTTAATATATTAATGCTCTATTTCAAAACATCTTATAAAATTTATAAAACTTCTAATAATGTCATGGAAAACAAATGGTGAAAAGTGGCACTCATTCAAATTTCTCAAGGATTGCACCATGGCATTGTGGGATACAATTGCCTGCACTATGTCCACACAGGCATGTCCATAAAAGAGAAGGTTGTCAATAAATTGCCGGACTGGAATATTTACTCCAAGGTCCAGCTATGTTCCCCTGCTCCAGTGTACTGGTATGTACAGGTAACTCTTAGCCAGTTAAAGTTGTGGTCCATATAAAAACATGCCTGACCTCACAAAGTAATAGTAAGTAATCACATCTTTCCTAAAATCAACCTTACAAACAAATACTCAACAACCAAATAAAGAATTGATGCGACTGTCCTTGTTGGCAGATTGCGGCAGTCTATTGATTATGTGGTGCTGCTCTTTGCAATCCCAAACTAGCTAAAGCCTCAGTTCTGTCACGAATCCCAGTGAAGGGTTCCAGGTTCATCCTAGCAGCTTGTGCATTGCTATTCCCCTGAATGTAGTTCATAATGTCATTGTTTGGGCGTCTGGATGAGGATACTTTAATTAATGAGGGCATACTATTGCTTACTCTGGGACAGTTCTGCTTCTCAAGCAACTGTGTGAGATGAGGTGAGACTTCTGCTGGAGAAATGCGTGTCTGTGATGCACTGGCAGGATGATTGTACAGCTGGGAGTTTGGAGAAGATTCAACCGAAGATTGACTTGATCTTATTTGTGAATGTCTATTTATTTGAGGTGGTGCTCTCAAATCAGAAGCAGTTCCCTGGTTGTAAACATTTCTTATATTGTCTTTGTTTCCAGGAAGGATAGGGGCTCCTTGCTGCATTGCTGAAGCAACTGCTTGGTAAGTGGTTGCAATCATCGGTGCAGAATGGGAACGTGGTTGTGAGATTTGTTCTGAAACTCCTCGTCCTGAAGTAGAGACTGTACTTTGATGAGATGACCCTGTTTTGGAAACAGGTGACGATAATACTGATGTTAGGTCCCGAGAGGAATGCAAAGAAGATGTTGATACAGCACTGCTATTTACAGGTTTAGTAGAATTAATGCTGTTCCCATGACCGGAGGTAGAATAAACTTGCATTAATGAATCCATCTGAGAAGATGCATAAGCTGAATCAGAAGAGTTTGCAGTGGATGTAATCCCTTGACTGGAAGGCAAATGTTCTGATGTACCATGTCTATCAGGAGAAATGCCTCTTCTAGGCCTCCCTCTATTCCTCTTGTCAATAACATTTGAAAAAGGTTCTAGAGTTTGTCCTCTTAACCTAGATACAAAGTAAGATGATTGCATATCCCTGGGATGCATAATGTGCCCAGGATATGATGGCTGGGCATTGCTCCTTGGAGGCAGTGAGCTGCTGGAACTATCAATTCTTCTTTGAGGAGAACCATCTTGAGAATTCAGTTTTCTGATTATGCCGTCATTTTCAACCCAAATATGTTGCTCATTTGGAGAAACTGTCCAAGACTTTCCTATAACAAGACCAGCCACACCTTCTTTTGAATCAATACCACCATAAGATAAGTCATTAAAAAAACCAGCAGCCTCTGGAGATATTTTTCTCTTCTTCATTGGGACTGTGAGATCTACTGGTCCTGTTCCTTCCTCAGATTCCATCAACTTTTTCTTCTCCCTTACTGGAGTGGTTGTATTATTTTCAATTTTTGTCATCAATTTCTCCGGAATAAGCTCTGGAATGGAATCCCTTGAGGAACTCAAACTGTTTTTTGTAACTTTCACAATCTCAGGACTTGATCGAGTTAAGTGAGGAGCCTTTTCATCCTTTTCTACAGTACGTGCAGTGGAACTTGTGTATTGAGATTCATTGGAATTTGCAACACGATGACTCGACACAGAACCTCCTCTAACACTACTCTTGTTCATTGATGATGTTGGTGGTAGTGCTGGTAAATCTGCTTTACTTGATGCTTCCTCTGCCTTTAAAATTGTAGCAGCAACATGTAAAGGAAAGTGTGAGAGTAGAGACAGCTTATGTGGATCAGTTATAGTGTGAAGTGGTTTATCTGGTGTTGCCATAACACTTCTTGTTGTACTGTCAGACATAGGAGTTGCACTTCGACTGGAGCTGCCACAGGACGATCTTCTCTGTCTGTTCAGTTTTTTGTGTTCTACTTGCAAGTGCATTTTCATCCAAGCTCTCTTGTTGCATACAAAATCACAACGTCCAATAAGACATCGTAGCATAGAAATATTCTCTTCCATGTCTTCACTGTACATCTGTAGTCGCACACACCCTGGCAGTGGCAGTGATTCATCTTCCTCACATAATTCTCTAAACCGAGCTTCTACAGCAATTTGATCATTTGTAGAAATGGTGTGGGCAGATGCAATAAGCTCTCCACATGGAGGTGCCATGTAACTATCACTAGCCAAATTGCCAACAGATGCATGACCAACATCATGCTGTGGGTCTCTCTGAAGCGGTTCTAGCTGAGGCATTTCAGCATCTTCAATAATCAAGTCCTTATGAGTAGAAGATGATTTAACTTCAAAACTGCTTCTACTATCTGGTTCCTGTACATCTGATGAAGAGTGTGTAAGACTTGCATCAGTGTTATTGGTAGTACTATCTTTCTCAGCCTTCTTTAAAGAAGAAGTAATACTTCTGGTCTGAGCTCTACCAATAGGTATGGAATCAGGACTTCCTTGTTTTTCACCGAAAGAATCATAAAGTTCATTAATATTTTCATCAAAATCCAAAGGCCTTGATAAATCTAAAACTTCTCCAGAGTCGGAATCGCCTGGCATAATATCAGTAGTCTCAGTCCCACTAGCTTCAGAGTCTGTTCGCTTTTCTGATAGCAATTGTCTAACCGTTTTAATTTTGTTGTTCTTCATCTTTTCAGCCAAGCGGAGAATCTTTGCATGGCGCCGTATACGATATGGTTCTTTGTAGGGGTCTTTTTCTTCTTCAGATAACGTTAACCACTTCCCTACTATGTACCTTTTTAGAGATCCCTTGGGTTTGCCTTTAAATTTATGGCTAAGTCTCTTGGACATCCATTTATAGTATCTGTAGAAAGGGGAGCTTTTAGATGTTGCAGTGTTCAGTTTGAATGCTTCATGTGACATTGACAAAGAATCTGGACCAGGGTTAAAATCTGGGTCTAGATCCGGATCTAAGTCCAGGTCAAGATCAGGATCTGGACCATCTACAGCATCAGCGATAAACTTGGATGTTTTGAGTCTCTGTATGTTTGTTTTCTGACGTCTTACATATTTTCTACGTTTTTTAACCTGTCCTAATCCGTCTGGAATTGGCAGTCCTCTGGCAGTCAGTGCCTTTTCCAGGTATTGTTTCTGTGAGTCTAATCCTAGAGATTTCCATTTCTGACCAACAAGTCTCATCACATCAGTGTGACTTCTTCCAGGGTTATCTTTTCTAATCTCCTGGTATACCTCTTTAGAGTAGATGTTGTAGCCGGTACTGTAAGCTCTTGCCACTTTCACCACCTTTGGCCTATGTGCAAGTGCAGCTTTAGCACTTGACATGCGAATGCCTGTTTTAAGTGAAGTTTTTCTAACCACCAACGGCCCACCTTTTGCTCTAATATTATAATCTAATTGTTCCTGACGTGGTAAGGCATCCCATTTTTCATGGATCAGTTGATACACTTCCAAGCGACTCTTATCAGGATGCTGTTTGCTCACCTCTTTGTACCATTCCTTCATGAATACTGCATAGCCTAATGCTTTCTTCATTTTCTTTTTCTGTCGATCATTTCTAGTATCTCGAGCAGGGGCTTCAATCACTCCGTTTTCTTCAACTTCAACATCTTCATCCTCTTCATCATCATCCATACTAGCAATCGAAACAGCTGATCTTCCATACTTGCGTTGACGTTTTCTTATCATAGTTTCTCTTGCACGCCTGTGATATGCTTCTTGTTCAGTCTTATCCATTGTCTGCCACTTGGCATGGATGATTTTCATAAGCTCCTTTTTTACTTTATCAGGGTATTGTCTTTTCAATGTTTTATGCATGTCCCTTACAAGTATATTAAAACCCCTACGACAGTGTTTTCCCCTTTGATCACTTGCAGATTTCACTTTTGGCACCCGTATCTGAAGAATGGATGGCACTACAATATTAGTCCTTAGTTGATGGTGGTCTTTACTGTTTTTCTCGGATTCCTCTGCTGCTTTTTTGGAACTAGATTTGTTTAGAGTTTTTTGTATTTGTTCTCTGGCTTTAATGTGATAACTCTTTTGTTCTGCTGGATCCAGCTTTGTCCACTTCCCATGAATCATTCTTCTAACCTCACTCATGGTCTTGTTTGGAAACTTTTTTTTGAATTGAGCATACTTTTCTCTTAAAAAGAATGGATAACCATTTGTGAATTTTATTCTTCTTTCATGGCCATCATATTCCTGATGATTGGTTTCTGGTGATGTAGTTTCAGAATTGTTTTCATTCACATCAGGTTCAGCAACTTCCTCCACACTAGATTTTGGTTCCATTTCTTCAGTATGGGTTGAATCTACTTCAGGCGTATTAGCGTTAGTGTCAGTGTCTTCCTCTTCTTTCTCTTCCTCACCTTCAGTAGTAATTTCAGTCTTTTCATCACTACTTGAAGGAGGAACAGCATTCATGCATTCCTGTAGAGCTTCTTGGAGGAACGGTGAACCTTGACTCATCCACAGTTGAAGAGGCTTTTTGAAGAAATACCACTCATCAGCTGGGACTTGTTTATTGGACATTTTGGGTGCAGACTTGGAAGCAACTTTCCAGAACTCTCTGCCTTCTTCATATCTACATCGATAAAGAAAGATGTCTTCCTCAGGTATTTCAGTAGGACGACCTGCAAAATCAGTTAGGTACACAGTAAGGAACAATAATAATGATGATTAATTCAATGTACAAAGCTTATAGGGAATGTAAATGATTTAAAACAACAATGAATTTGGTACAAGTTGGGTTAATTACTGACCCAATCCAGAGGTTGTGCTAGATTTGATGTCAAAAATTTCATAAAAAAGTCTGTGACCGAGGCAAAAGTTTTCCCCACATAAAAGGCATCTATTTGTTTTGTCAACGAGTGAGAAATAGAAATTGTTTTGAACAATATTAGTGTAATGTGATTACAATATAATCAAAGAAAAAAAAGAACTCCTGTGTAATATTTTTCTGTCTAATTAATTTCAGAGCATCTATAATTCAATTTAAATCCGATTTGATATCAGAAATGAACTAAATGTATTATTATGCATAGATTTAGGTCTATGTATTGTTCTGGGGAACGTACAAAGTTTTATTTTAATATGATAATTATTCCTAAACAAGCGGCCAGTTGGCTGAGATAGCTCCGCTGTTAGCAATGCACATTTCAATTAAAGAACAGAAGATATCATTAGAAAATGAACAATATGTATAGTATCAAAGCAATGGGACTTGTTTTCAACAAGAATTCAAAAATATCACTTTTTACCAAAAATGACAAAAATATTCACCAAAATTAGACAATTGAAGATATCATCATGAAATGAACAAATCTGAGAGAGGTCTACCCAAGGTACATATACACCAAGTATCAAATCATTCAGGCTTGTAGTTTTTAAGAAGTCGAAAAAAAAAAAACATTGACACATACGACGGACAATCACTCATATGATAGGCTCCGCTCGACAAAGTCGACAGTGGAGCTAAAAAATTGGAAAGCTGAAGAGAAATTAGATTGTTGCATTGTCTTAGAGTATATATGCACCAAGGTTCATTAAAATAAGATAATGAGTAGTTGAGATATTGCTGGAAATGCTGAAAACTGCCTAATTATTATGAAAAAAAGGTAATTGATATGCACAGATGTTAATGCAAAACAATGTGCCAGACCATCTATGTATTAAATTTCATTGAAATGTGATTAGAACCAAAAAATTATGAATCATTATGAAAATTAAGTAATTATCATGAACAGATTTTAATTGAAAACTGAGCAGGTCTGTGCATTGCCCTAGAGCATCTATGTACCAAGTTTCATTCATTGAAATGGGATAATTAGTACTTGACTTATTGATGTGAAAACCAAAAAAATGGCTAATTATGCAAATTTTGTAATTAATATGCACAGATTTTAAACCAAAACCAATCTTGTCTGTGATAACTTTTAGAGCATCTATGTACCAAGTTGTATTAAAATATGATAATTAGTACTTGAGATATCAGTGGAAAAGCCGAAAAATGTACTTATAACTATGCAAATTTGTAATTAATATGCATGGTTTTGTACCCAAAAATAATCAAATCTGTGCAGAGAACAGAGTCCAGAGCATCGATGTCCCAAGTTTCATCAAAATCCAATAAGAGGTCTTTCAGATATCACTGGAACAGTCATGGAACAGCTAAAAATTAACTTATCATGCAAATTAGGTAAATAATATGCATAGATTTCAACCAAAACCTAATCAAATCTGCGCATTAGCCTAAAGCATCAAGTTTCATCAAAAACCAACATATGGTTCTTGGGATATCAGTGGAACAAACATACACATACAGACGCACTAAATGCAAAGACATTGTGTGCTTCGCATACGGGAGTCAAAAACTGATGATTTATTATCCTTTAGTACAGACTTGATCAATGATGTAAAGCAACTAGCTATATCCTGCTTTGATTAATGCTTCCTAAACCCAACACTTACTGTGCATACTGTCAATGTAATGCACCCTAAAACCTAATATGCATACTGTCAGTGCATTTCTAACACTTGTTTTGATTCAACTTTTGGTATAATTGTCCCTTTAATTACATGCTTTTTATAATTGATATATTTGATACTGGTATCATGTATGGGTAAAACTTACTTCTTAAATAATCCGAGAAGTGGAGTACAGTACATTTACCAATCACATCAGACATTTGACGGACAATAGTATGGCCCTGGAATACTTCTTTCTCATAGAACACTGTAGTAGCAAGATGTTTAGTGTCTTCTGGGTAGAGGAAGACAGGTCCCTGGAACCAAGGCACACCACTGAACAGATAGAGACAAAGTTAAATTTATGACTGCACCTACATCACTGACAAACAGGCAAAGTTTGCTGTAAGACGTGCATCATATAATTTTAGTATTTTGGCTTTATCCATGAATTTATTAATTTGAATACTATAGTTAATGAGTTGCATGTAGAATGAGCAAACATTCTGGTTAGCTAACGATGTGTTTAACATAATGTCTCTCAGTTTATAGTATAAATATATAGAATTTATTCACCATGACTATGGTGCACCACATTCCGAATCAAGTTAGTATCAAATATCATAGCCGATATAAGGTAAAAGTCACCCTACCAGTAAAACTAATTTTATGCGGATTTATACACAATAAATTGTATGACTGTACAATAACTCATGTTTATTTTGTCGAATGAAAACCATCAAATTACATTTCTGTCTTGTTTGGTTATAACCAGACTACACGTATTTGTAATGCTAGTTTATACTTGGCTTTAGTACTTAGATAATACCATGACATCACTCCAGCATTATATGTTGTGAACTTACTCTTTGTCTTCCCAGAGGCTGTCTATTTTAGCAATACCAGGTTTATTCCGACCATCAGGATGCAAGTAGACGCAATCCCCTATTTTATAACACCCAGTTTCAGTCACGTACTGCTCATAGAATGGACTACCATCATCTTTTACTAATGGTTCATTGGTTCTCATATTAATTAGCGGTACAGTCTGTAAAATGAATACAACAAGTCATAGTATATTTGCATTTGACTGAACTAACATTTGAGGACACAGCACTATGTCTTGTCTATTAACAAAATCTGTTGAAGCATGGCTGATAAATTGTCGAGGACGCATAAAAAGAAAACGGACGAACGGACGGACAGAGACCGAATTTTTGGACTTCATCCGAACAGGGACATGCACCTGTAAACCCAATATGCATAATCATGATACAAAGTTTCAATGAAATTTCCCTGTTCATCTCCAAGAAGCGAAGAACATATTTATGTATCAGAAATTAGCATTAGCCATACTTGACCAAATTATAATGAGAAATGATTGCATATGCAAGTCATTGTACATTGTCTGTGTGTTAAGTTTGAATGTGATCAGTCAAAGCATGTATGAGAAATTACTCTGGACGATCTCAAATTAATACTCCCTGGGTACTAGTAAATCACTTTAAGGATATATACATCATACCCACTATAGTACCAAACATAAAAGACATGTTTTCTTACCATATTACTATAGTCAACATCCAGCTCTGTCTCTGTCTCTGGCATTCGCTCTTGTTTCCGCACTTTGTCATGAGCTTTTTCTGCTTTTAAATCAGACTGAAGGTGAACATTGATATAATGCAATGCTGGAGAGTTCAAAACTTGTCCCCATTCACACACCTGTTCACGAGATAATATGTAGTACTCCTGTAGCCTTATTGCAGTGTAATAAATCTGTAGAAAAGTCAAGATACATTGTGAGTATATTGTTACAAGTACAGTTACACTCTAGTTCATGAACCATACCATACATTCTGAAATGCTTCAAACTTTACTATCAGTTTATGGAACCTGGTCATTGGACATCATTTTACTTTTCTTGATAATCATATTATATCATGTATCTTGACTATCAACTATCATGAACGTGGTATGAATGGATAAACAATGCTTTGACAATGCCCCGTTGATGACAGGGCATTGACGTTGACATTGACGTTACAACAGGTGCCTAAATAAACTGATCATGAGAACCGATCATTGCAATACTGGTATCCCTCTATCCCTTGAAAGATTCTTAGCGGCATTTGATGTGACTTGCATTCAACCATTGGAAATTTGCATATCAAAAGTATCACTATATGTGATGGGGGGGGGGGGGGTTGAAATTAAATTGTAAGCCAATGATTAAATGATTTATTGCGTTCTAGTGTACAACGATGATGGTCAGATGCAAATATTCACCATTTTAGTAATATTTTCTACTGTAAGCAAACTACGAATTAGCTAATTCCAGAATATAAGTGATTTGATGACACTTTACTTAATTACCTCTTGATAGTCTTTGGATAGACGTCTTATTTTTTCAAATATTGCAAATAAATCTTTTTGCATCTGGTCTAATCGTTGATAACATCCAGTGTAAAGTTTATTTGACACTGTGCTGAAATCCATTACTAACCTACAATGAAAGGATGAAAAACAAGAAGTATTTATTTATTTTTGTCTGTATATCTACTTTCATTCTTACTGTCATCTACAGTGGAGACTGACACCAGCATATGGTAGTGGTACTACAAAGAACTTAGTAATAGTCCCCATCATCTAACCACTGACCCTGGCTAAATGTCAGTAAGGCATCAACACATTAGTTTAAAGGTATGGCAAGGCTTTTTTCTGGATATTAATTCAATTTTGCAGAATTAAATCACAAAAATTTTGCTTGGGAAGACAGTCTTAAATAACAAATTCATTGGTGGTTTGTAGTATTTTTGCATCAAAATATTTCATTCATTTATTTATAGGCACAAAATGCATTACCTTATGAAAATTAAAACCCAACATACTAATGACTAGGTATGTTCATATTTTAATTAGTATTCTTGTGGGAGGGGGTAATCAATTCGAACAGCAGAATCACAAATGTGAAATTCAAAATAATATTCTGACTACAGTCGACTGTAACAAAGAATCATGCAAGAATAAAGTGTCAGATCACATCTTCAAGCAAAGATGGTTTCAGCAATATTGGGGTAAGGTGGGGTGGGGTGGGAGGCGATCCAGCCTAAGATAAGGCCCCATTGAGAGAAATATATAATATAAAACAAATAAAATTTTGAAAAACAATCACATTTGACTAAATCACAAGACAGCACAGGCAACTGCAAAAAACATCTACATTTACCATGTAACATAATACCAAGTAGTCATGCATATCATGAATAACCTTCCTTGTTACTGTCACTAGCCATATCCATGACCATATACAAAAGGTCAGACACGCATGTCTGGATATAGTACTCGGTAACAGTAACAGGGGTTGCCCAACAAACATGGTGCAAATTTCAACTATTAATGTTTTTTTCAGACATGACTGAACACCAATGAATTACATTTTAAAATGGAAACAAAGAAAGTAATTCTGTTTATTGAGCGGAAAACTGTGGGTGGTTAAATTCATAATATATGCATTGTGTAAGAAAGTTTAGAGTATCAGGAAGCATGCAACAAATGCGTAATATGTGATACATAATTCAGTACAGTGACAATAATGAAGCTAGCCCCACATTTGGATACATTTTATAAAATTAAGAGTCTAATGAGAAAAAATCACAAGTGGAAATGAAGTATATAAAAGTAATTCCTGATTTGTAGGACATGTGGCTCTGTTGTGTCTTGTAAATTTCCCTACGCGACTTTTGTACTAAGAACTATGATTAGGTATGTTATTTGCACTTTACGACAGGGCTAAGGTCATCAAATCTGCCATAAAGCAAAATGATACATCAATTCTGAGCTGTTTGTTTGTCTGTTATTTCCTCCAATGGGGATAGCTTCAACTCTAGGTACATTCAATGAGATGATTCATCTTTATTGCAGTACATAATTTAGATATTCTCCCCAGATACTACTGCTCTAGCACTAAATGAGCTGCAATGCAAACTATTTTATCACAAACGTATGGACACAATTTTAACTCTTTAAGATGAGTGACTCTCAATAAAATAAGGAATTGTTCTTCTCTCCGTCTGCAGTTGTCATGGGAAGAACACAAGAGGTTTACATGATATAGACAATGCATATACGTAACATGACCGAGGGAACCCCAAACTTACTTATTAGAGTTTCCTGACTGCTGAGTTGGTACTGGTTGGCTGATATAAAGACAATGTTGTTATAGTTAAAATAGATGAAGATATAATAGATGAAGAAGACAGCTAATGCAGTCTAATCTACAATAATATGACGTCACAGATCACAAACAACATACAGGTTGGAAAATATGTGCCAGCCATAGAGTTAATATTAGCAATGTTAGCTCACCTATTTCAAGAACAACAGCTTTAAGTTAGTTACAGAACAGAGTACAAGTGTGGCTTAATAGGATAACCTAACTGTAGATACAGTATGTCATATATAAAATCCCCAACAACCAAAAAACATTAAAAGTTTACACATACTGGATAAATAAGTATTATAATCTAGTCTAGTCTAGTCTAGTTAATTGATTGGTTGCATATATCAGTGTCTTTTTATCTGACCTCTGCACTGATCAAAGAACCGATCAGAGCTGAATCCCTGAGTTATTAGTCATTTATCATCATTAGAGAAGAGTTCATTCTGTATATGTCAGTGATTCCCTGTTATTGTATGATATCTCTCAATAAACCAAGTCTGCCAGTCTCTAGATGTTTTTAATCTATGAACTAAAAATAAATCAAGTGTGAACTAACTCTTAATTAACACACTTTTCTATTTTGTTTAATTTAAAACAATAAAAAATGAATGAATTTGCATATTCTGATTTGGAATCTTTTACCTTGTGACATTATTTTGTTTTTATAATCAAATTAAATTGAATAAATAAAACTGATTTTGTATAAATTTAAGCGTAAACAAGATTCACCTGATATTTTGACTAAAGACCCCCCCCCCCCAAAAAAAAAAGAAATCCTGCATAACTACCTTGTGGGCTTGGCACTCATCAATACAAACTTAGTGTGATACTGTATTTGCTTTATTAGATGTGAAACTTTAATGAAATAGAGCTCATAAAAAAAATTGCATTTATTGCATGCTGGATAATTGAAATGCACTTTATTTTGACCACAGACATACATTGAATGAATGAATGTGTTTCTAATAAAGCAAATATGGTACATCTTCACTCACAATTGTTGCCAAGACTGTATTGTATACATTATAGAAATTCCGCTATAACTATGTAATAATAATTATTTTTTCTTCATGTTATTACTTTAATAATACAGTGTTATATCACAGCTATTAATACAAACTACTCACATTGTATCGGAACATTCCCGTTCCAGGAAATTGACCAAGGCAGTCATCAAGTAACGTCCTGATTCATCTTTATGGTTCAATATATTACCATGAATTGTTTTCAGTATGTCTTGTACGCATTGCTGTACATCAGGTACTTCAACTCTGTTATGATCTAAATCAATCAACTCAGCTTGTGATTGTAACAGTACACAGTGTAGAGTCAACGCATCCTGTCGGTGTCAATAAAAGGCAGTTACACATACTGTATATAATTGCTCACAGTATTCAAAGCACTCACATGGCAGATAATGAAATCAATGCAAGTATTCCAAATACAGCTGCACAATAATTTCACCTTTAGCTATAGGGATGAAAATTAACAAATATACCACCTCTAGTCTAATGGGTTGACTTTAAAAAACTGATTCTCCACATGGAAATAGAGTAGTCTAAACAAGTCAATTTGTGTTACCTTTCATAAATAAACCTCAAGAATATGTTTTGGTCACAATATCAGTCAAAACTTGCTTTTCAGACACACTGCTCAACATTTTTTTAAAAACTAATTTAGGTGTTTCTATTTCAGTGAAACTGTACAATGATGACACATTGTACTTTGTAAAATTGTTATTTCTGCATTTACTTCGATGGTTGCCCAAAATTGGTCAATCGGTTTTCAAATTTTGTTACTCCATGACAAATGTGGTTTTCCATGATAACAACCACCTGTAACATGGTTCTGCAAATTGAAAACATTTTGACATAAAAACAAATACAAGCTAGTTTGCCTAGATGGAATCTGACAGTATGTGCATGTGTGAATTTAAGCAATAAAGACTGTATACACATAAGTGGAGATGCTAGTTTAACAAGCCATGCATGGCACAGTCCCCGTTAGTTATTAAATTTAAGAAATATAGTTTTGTTTATAGTAATATAGCTGGAATATAACCATGTCAGGAATATGGTTTTTTAACATTAAAATGATTGACATTTGTATCTGATCATCAAACAAGTACTTGATATTT